ACACACACACACACACACACACACACACCTGACGTCCAACTCGCACACCTGTACGTCAGGTGTCCTGTGCTCCCTGAGGCCCCGCCCCCCTGGTGCGCCTCCTCCACATTCAGCTTCAGCCAGCTCACAACAACCTGTTCCCAGCTGCGCTCTGTCCGGACGACAGCGTCTCTCCTCGTAATCTTCCACCATGAGTGTCTTGGCCAGTGAGAATGCTTTTCTGTCCGCCCTGCAGCCCAACACACAGGTCACCACCTACGGGCTCCCGTCTGAGGTCCAACTCGGGAACGGGGGCTCCGTGTCGGACGAGGTGTCGAGGACGCGGCGGGTCCAGCAGCAGGTCCAGATGAGACTGGCCGAGAAGTCCACACTTCCGCGTCTGAATGGATCAGCCGCGCATTACGCCATGTCGGGTAAAGAACTCTCTTAACTCACCTTCACAGGGGGACTGCTCTGGATCTGCTCTGGAGCCATGTCTGGGCTGTGCGCACTGAGCGGATCTGGGTTTAGTTTAGATCAGTCTGGGAGTTACAGATAAAACCACCTAGTGTCCACACAGGTACAGGTACAGGAGTAGGTGCAGGTGGTTTTGTGTGGCAGTCTGACCAGTCAGTCTAATAACCATGTTTCCTTTAGCTTTACTCCAAATAAATGACATAAAACGGACTCTTTATGAGTTTAGGTCTTGGATTTGACCCAGTGAGGAAGTGTGATACTGGACACCATATTTGGCAAATGTGCTTGGATTTAGTTTATATTTTCAAAAGTTGTCTAGACTTCTCCACATAACCATATGCATTTATTTGTGAAAATTGACTTTTATTGATTATTTTCAATATCTGTGTATAAGTAAACCAGACATATGCTCATTTAAGAGGCTTGAAACAGTGGATTGCTTACACTTTCGCTTTAAAAAATATTCCAACCGCCTAATTTAGTTTGATTAATATGTTGTCTGTAGGTTGATTCATCGATTATACGCGTGATCACATTTCTCCAGTGACATGTATGAATATGTCTGTTTTTGTGTGTGTGTGTGTGTGTGTGTGTGTGTGTGTCATTCCTGTGGGTTTGTTTCTCATCAGGGGGAATCTGTCCATTCAGCTACTCTGCACTGAACACAGCAGTGATCGTACAGTGTTCCTTGTGTGTGTGTATACCTGCAAATAACATGAGAAAGGGTTAATGTGTAACAGGCCCAAACAAGAGCTGCTTTCATGATCCTCCCTGATAGCAGAGTAAGGTGAAAGCCTCCCTCTGTGGTATAGGGTTTCAGGCCTTACTCAGCTGAAAGGAGCCAACAGTTCAAGAGATACCTGGGAGATGACGGGCGTGTCGTCTGCTTGTGAAAGACTTGAATTTGTCAAAAGGTGTCTGGCTGCATCGTCAGACAAAGTTCAAGTGGGATTGTCATGAAGGATCAGGGTGAATGAAATGTTTCCTGGAGTTTACTCAGGTGTTGCAACACATTTGAGGCAGTTAGAGCTGAATGAGTGTATGAGCTACACATGGACGCAGGTTTTTCTTGAGTTGATGTAGAAGTCATGGAGGCTAAAATTTGTGTACCCGTCCCCTAAAGGGTAAGGACATTCCTTCACGTCCCATGATTGGATGTGTCAAACCAAACTGCATCTGAGGGAGAATTTTTTTTTCTCACCTTACCAGTTAGCTACTAGCCTCTAGCTTTTTTTCCCCTGAGGTGCCAACGCTTGTGGCTTTGAAGAGGAAAACATAAAGTCATAAAATACTGTCACGTCATCTCTATCATGTTTTGAAACCTGTTCAAGCAGAGGAAGAATACATAACGACACTGCATTGAAGGCTGCAATTTCAGCGGTTTTGTGGTTCTAGAGAATTTAATTGTGAACGGATGTGTTTATACATGAGGAAACATGCTGAGGGTTCGGCAAGGAAGGCCTCCTCTTCTGAAACTTAATGTTTATTCCTCATATTTCTCTTTAAGTCGATAACTGACATATGTTCATATGTGGACAAGCCTCAGCAGAAAGTGAGAATGGAAAAAGTGTGTGTGTGTGTGTGTGTGTGTGTGTGTGTGTGTGTGTGTGTGTGTGCTCACAAGCGTACCTGTGTACTCGTTTTTGTTACCCCTTCAGGGTTTTTCCAGCATAAACTCTTACCTTATGAGGACCAGGAGACCTCATGGGGACCAGAGCCCCATCCCAATGAGGCAAAACCTATTTTCTGAGGTCCTGGTTAAAGTTAATTGTAAGATTTGAAGTGTGGTTAATATAAGGTCAGGGTTACGTATGAAATGGTCATGATTTAGGTTAGCAATAAGGTTTTGGTCCACAATGAACAGAAGTCCATACAAGTCCTGATATGGATAGCTGTTCACACCTTTGTGTGTTTGCTGATTCTGTGACTACTGCATTTCAGTTTTCAAAAAACAACAGGAAAGGAAAAATGCTTCGAGTTTTCAGGGTGTGTTTGCTGCTCGTTGTAAGAACTGTGGCTCTCAGGTGTGTCGGGCGTTGCCAGGGTTGTGTTGAATCCAGGCCAAGAGATGTGTCTGTGTTTCTCCGCTCAGTAGAAGTGAAGCGTGTCGGCAAATGGCAACTCTACTCACTAGGGTAAAAACTGTTCAGGCTCAACGCAGCTGCAGGTAACTTGTTAGTTGTTCAATTGTAAATGTTCCCCAGAGGATGAACCATCCTGACTTTGGTGATCCTAACACTTTTAATTCACTGCCATTAATCAGACAAATGTGTATGATTTTATGAATTTATGGTGATAATAATGTATATAAGTTTATTTCATTCATTGACAAAACAAAACAATTTGAATGAAAACTAAAAATCTCAACTCTTGAATGAAAAGGAGCAGAAATAAGGATAATCTTATATAATCTGCCCCTCTTTCACAAGACATTAACCTGCAAAGGTAATAATTCAATACAATTTCAAATCAAAATAGCTTTTATATCCTTCAAATAATCTCACAAAATGATTTACCAGTCACACCAAAACAGAACAGAACTTAATTAACAAATTCATTGTAATTCCTAAACATATCGGCTTTAATTGTTTTTCAGATTCTTTGTTGATATTGTTCTTTAAACTGATTCCTTTTGCTGTAATGCAGCGATCCATCAATCAAATAGTCTACCTGAAAAACTAGTGGCACTCTGCACTTTCTTTTAACTGCTGATAACCTCAGCTGACAGGTTTTCATTACTGTTTGTTTTTCTGTTGTCAGGGTTACGCAAGAAGATAATGCTGCGATCTTTATCAAAAGAAATCAGGCATGTGTGGAAAGATAGTAATTCAGAAAAGGTGATATTATAAGAAGTTTGTAGAAAATGTCTGTGTGCATGGTTTATGTATCTGATCTCAATTTATGTGCAATATGGAGATAATGTGGCCAATCATCCTTGGTGGAGGTATGTTCAGAGTGCCCTTCTCCTTAGCTTATGTTATCATTAGTACATCATTGCTTATCATTAGTACTGTGTCATTAGTACACTATTTTAGTATAGTATTTTTAGTAAAGGCTCATAAAGCTGCACGGCTGTAGACTCTGATGTCTGTTTGCATGACTGTATCAAACCTGGAACAACAGATAAATCCCAGAGGATTTCAATAAGAATCTTAGAATAAGAAACGACAGAATTATTAGTTGATATGCACACACACTGAGTAAAATGGACAGGGTTTTGTCACTGAACTTTTCTGGTTTCAGCTGACCCGGATATTTGAGTCAACGAGCAGCCTCTCGAGGCTCAGGCCGTAGTGAACGTTTCGCCTCACCTGTCAGGTCACATCGTTCTGTAGATCAGAGCAAAAGATTCACACGCTACTTGTGCTGACAGATACATGTGTGTGTGAGTCGAGAACTATTCTCCAGTTGAATGGTAACCAGAGACCTGGTGACTGGACTCCTCCTCCTGTTTCAGTCTCCAACTGCAACACGACATCTGCTGTTCTTTCTCATGCAAATCATTGTTGGAAATTAAAGAGGCGTGGCGCCTCGATGTGGTTTAATCTTGGAAAAGTAAACAGGATATATCTTTGGTTTTTGGCATTGTGCGGTAACATCACTCGGCCAAAGCTTTTCAAGTAGAGCCAGCATTATTCTGCTTCCACATAAGAATTCAAAAGATATGAATCAATGTTTGAAGAATTCATGAAAAAGTCAATTGTCATCATTTCTTTTCATTTGCACATTCACTGGGAAATACTTTTAAATCCACCAATTGTGGAGAATCATATTTCTTATTTATTTATAAAGATCTGATTTAAAATATACAAAAGATATATTTTTAGAAGACAGATGGTTTGAAATTGGTTTTTAGTCTTTTAGGAAAATGTTTCTTGACTTTTGTAAATTTGATTATATGTATTATATCTAGTAATCATGTGTTTTTCTTTATTTCAGACTACGATGGCTCTTTAACAACGAAATATCAAACCTACAACCCAAGCTTCAGCTCAAAGTCCTCCTACATGTACTCCGGTTCCAGAACGATGGTAAGTACGGCCTGATTATCTCAACATGTATTCATGTATCAAACATCACCAGCTCCGACCCTCTGCTGGTGTCACAGTGGGTCACACAGCACTCAGCATGTGTGGTATTTCACAGGAGGCTGTGATGTGATCAGGGTTTTCATGTCCACCCTCTAGATTCCTCTGTTTTTATGATTCAACAGGAAAACGCTGGCTTTATTCCACTTAAGTTTGAGCTCTGAACGTAAGCGTGAATCAACGTTAACTTGTAGATTTCTAATTGCGGTCTGATACGTCACATTTTAATCAGTAAAAAAAAATCCCCCACGCCTAAATGATGAATCCTGAGGCCATGACCTTTGTTTCCTGACATGTCGGTGATCACATTTAGAAACCGGTGACTCATTACAAATTCATCACATACAGTTCAATACAAGGCAGTGCTGCTCACATTTGATCGTAACAGTTACTCCTCTCTTCATCCTCAGGGTCCTCGTGTATCCCAGAGGTCGGGCTTCAGCTGCCAGTCTGCCGGCCCAGATCTGGCCCAGATCCACAAGATCAGTGTCGGAGGTGGAGGAGCTGGAGGTGGTGGATTTAGAGCTGGAGCTGGTGGTGGCGGTAGTTTTTACAGAGAGGACATGCGTGTGGGCAGCTACCAAAGCAGACCCCATCCCCGAATGGACTCAGAGACCCTCTCTATGCACACAATGCGGCAGCAGCCCTTGCATATGAATAGCTGGATAGTCGATAACAGCGACGCTGGCAGCTTAGTCTCGGAACGGGATGCCACTTTCAACCGCCAGTTCAACCAGGGTACGCTCAACGGGTACACCACCCAGATGAGGCAAGAAGTAAGCCCCATGGTCATGCAGCGATCCCTCAGTGGCACTCTTAACCGTGGCGGAGGGATGACAGGAGGGGAGACGGAGATAGTCCATCAACATACTTTAAAAGGCCCGGCCCAGCGCACCATCAGCAGGATTACAAACCGAAACCGCATGAGCATGGGCTCCATGTCTGGGAGCACCTACAGTAGAGGAGGGGACATGGTGGATAGAGGGGGGTTTATTGCTTCCGGAATGTCTTCGGCTTCCCAGGGGAACTTGGTGATGCAGCGTCCAGGCACCATGTCCCGCGCCATGTCATCCAAAAGCATTCAGAGTGTTGGCCGGGGCATGGACATCTTCACTGGGCAGGTGGATATGGGAGCCAGCATGGGGAATCTCAGCGGGTGAGATGCTCACACGTTCAGTGTTTTTTCATTTGAAGATGTCGTTCCATTTCATGTCCTCACAGCATTATTGACAGATCCTGCGTGTGTTAACATTATTATTATGTGTGTTATGGTAGGTTGAACATCATCATGTTGATATATATCGACTATTGGATGTAAACTTTCTACACCGCAGTGGATAAATAGCTTTCAAAACAAGCCACAACTCACCTGTGCATGCTCATAAGTGTTCTCTGGCACTTTCTGATCAATTCATAAGAAACGGCCAGAACCAAGAATAAACCGTCTGTTCAGCCAAACGTTTATTTACTGTACCTTAATCCTCCATGCCTTTATTGCCCTAAAACCACTGGCAACATGTTCCTTTATTATGACACTGGCACTTGGGTTTAGTTTCATCTGCGCCACATCCTGATCACCACCCAGCACCATCCTGATGGTGTAACTGAAACTTGGGAATGGGTTTAGAATAGACTGGACTAATAAATGATTTTAATTAGTTACTGAATGTAAGAAAAATATGAATCTATATATTTTGTCAATAAATGCCAATATAATAATCCTGAATCCTTTAATTAGTTCATAATCCTCGGTGACAGAAATGACGGCTGGATTCCCTCTGGTGACTCAGCTTGTTGAATGTGTCTGAGATGTCACTCTGAGAGTGAAGCTATATCCACCAGTATGATGCCGTCACAACTATCAACTATGTGTGTGTGTGTGTGTGTGTGTG